GCAAACCCAAGAGGTGCCCACCGCCCGGGGTCAGCCCTCCAGCCCCCACCCGCACTAACACCCGGCAGAGCCGACCGCGGCACACCAGCCACGCCAAGGCACGCTCAGGCTGCTCCCTGGCCGCTCCCCCAGCCCTGCCCTGGCTTCAGCTCGGGCAGGGAAAGGGCTGCAAGTGGCGAGCGATGCCCTGGCAGGGGCAGCGGGTGGGGGGGCGCCCCCGCTGGCCCGGCCGCTTTTGAGCAGCCCTGCCTGCCTGGGCCACCGCATGGCACTGCCACCCATCTGCCCTGGGTGGGCAGGGGAAAGTCCTCCCCTGCTGCCCCTCAGGCACCCAAGCTGGTTTCTCTCCACTTCAGCACTGTTTGGCTCCAGGAGACATCTGGGGACAAGGAGGGAATAGCATGTGAAGTCTTCATGGAAAGGGCTGACAAAAGCACAGGTAGATGCTGTACTTGGCTGCTGCTGAAGACCCAAGTCCTTCGTCTGCACATGGCCACATGCACATGCCCCAAAGGATCCCTTGGAGCCACCAGGAAAGAGCTGCTCCACCAGTCACGCAAGCACTGGGGTTAAGGGTTATGTCTGTCATTGCTTTTGCCCCAGCCATTGCCTCAACAGGTAACACACCATTTCACTACCTCCACGGATTGTCCCCAGTCTCAGGACGCTGACTCACGTGAGGCCTTCGCGCAACCACTGTCAAAGCTGCCGTCGCCTTCCACCACATCCCTCCTCGGCAGAGCAGGGAGTACTCCCTACTCCAGAGCAGAGCATGCCAGTGCCCCTGGAGCCAGAGGTGCAACAAACTCCCTGTTAGGAACTGGAGCCTGGAAGTGGGGTTCAGAGGCTCCTGCAAGGGTATTTTTAGACTCTATATCTTTTTGCTCATCCTCAAACACATGCGAGAACATGCAGTCCCCAGAGATTGTGTTCCCATAAACCTCCTCACAGCTGTACTGCTGTGAGGAGCCAGCCTCCAGAGCCAGGCAGGAGCTGCACTCCAGAAATGCGTGTGAGCAGCGTGAGCAGCCTCTGTTACCCAGAGAGCAACCCCAGGGGATCTGCAGCCATTTGGGGCTCCTCAGCTAGTGGTTCTCTAGAAGATTTCAGTTTCCTCAGCCCACCAAGCAGCTGGCACAGAGCAGCAAAGTCCTCAAGAGGGCTGCGGAAGAGAGGGATGGGTGGGACCAGGAGACCACCCCCAACACTCCTCCTCCTTTGCAAGCACACAGGGATACACTACAGCATCTCTTCCATGCAGTGCAACTCACTGCTTTCCTTTGGAGACACTCCTTTGCCCTCCAGGGATCCATCCTCTCCCCAACCCATGACAAAAGCGACTGAACCCTCTGCTATTGTTTGCAGTGAGGAATAAGGGAACAGCCTCAC